AGTTTACCGAAACATGCAAAGGATTTTAGTAGGCAATTTATACAAGATAAAGCGAGCATCGTAAAAAAAAATGTCTTTTCTTGATGAAAGACATTGCACTGGTCCTGCTTGATTTTTTCTCTTGTTTCATTTCAATCCTAGCATAGAAACACCAGACACAGTGCAAAAATAAAACCGCTATTGTAATCATGCTGGTCAGAAAAAAATGTGCCTTCAGATCAATCAATGCGAAAGGATTCAACAGAAGCTGGCGAAAGCCAACTAAGCTTGACAGCAGCTGAGCTACGAAAGTTTCGCATGCACATCACAACAAATAACTGCTAATCGATTGAAGGATCGAATTGCTATTCAACTTCCCACTCAAAACCTACGACATTAAACGAATGTTCATGACTTTGCAAAACAGAGCAGATTATCAGTACAGAAGAACGGCAAAATAAAGGATTCTATTGCTTCCTACTTGCTCTGGACTGGTGGAAAGATAATTGTTTAGGCTATATCTGGTATTAGGTGATAAGCGAATCTAATAGAATGTAGAAGTAGCGCTCATTTCCAAACCTCTCATAGCATAAGACAAGCTTCAGCTCTGCAGACTAGAGAAATATACAGAAAAGGAGAACAGCATAAAATATATGCATTGGTGCACTTTTTCGCTGCACAAATTCGCTCAAATTAAATTTCTAACCATATGCTCGAAAAGCATCCATTTTGAATAAACTACCAAACCAATTATTGAGTAATTGAGCGATTTCGAGCCCTTAAACCATTGGCAATGAGAAATATTCAAAGACAGATCGTGTGCAAAAAAAAAAATGAAACACCTTTAGTCCAATCTTTTCCATATTCGATTTTAAAAAATCAGTTTCAACTATCAAAACCTATCAAACGAACAGAACGGGCAAAACATGTTGAAATCTGCATTTTTTGAAGACGAATCAAACCATAACTTTTTATTTTCTTCTCAATAGCATAAAAACGGGAGAGGGCCGCGCATTCAAAACAGTGGTAATACTGCAGATGCCTCCATCAAGTATAGTGACGTAAACACTTATTTTGTGCAAAGAATTTCAATAACAAACATTTATGTAACAAAATTTTAACAAGTCATTAATAGGCCGGAGTGACCTCGACGGGTTGCATCGGCGGGGGAACAATAGGGATAACGTCCTTCTTCTCAAGTTTGTGTTCAGAGCTTGGCTCGGTGGGGTTGACTTCTGGCACTGGTTCCAGGATCTGGACGTGATCGGGAAGAGCGTTCTTGGGTCCCATCTGGCCGCGAGGATCGTGAGGCAGCATGATCTTTACCTTGATACCAATAACACCTGAACCAATAACATCATCCAGAACTTTCCATTTCAATAAAGGTTTTACTCGGGACTAAATCTCTAAAAAAACAATGCATAAGGGAAGTGGAGAACGCACCCTGACGGAGCTGTACGTGTCGGACGGCTTGTTGGATGTACTCGGTGACTGGATGTCCCGAGTGGATCAT